CCGCACACCCGCACACCCACACCCGCACCCGCACACCCGCACGCACACACACGCACACGCGCACACGCGCACACGCGCACACGCGCACACGCGCACACGCGCACACGCGCACACGCGCACACGCGCACACGCGCACACGCGCACACGCGCACACGCGCACACGCGCACACGCGCACATGCGCACACGCGCACACGCGCACACGCGCACATGCGCACACGCGCACACGCGCACACGCGCACACGCGCACACGCGCACACGCGCACACGCGCACACGCGCACACCCACACATGCGCACACGCGCACACGCGCACACGCGCACACGCGCACACGCGCACACGCGCGCACGCGCACCCGCACGCCCGCGCACACGCGCACACGCGCACACGCGCACACGCGCACACGCGCACACGCGCACACGCGCACACGCGCAAACGCGCACACGCGCACACGCGCACACGCGCACACGCGCACACGCGCACACGCGCACACGCGCACACGCGCACACGCGCACACGCGCACGCGCGCACGCGCACACGCGCACACGCGCACACGCGCACACGCGCACACGCGCACACGCGCACACGCGCACACGCGCACACGCGCACACGCGCACACGCACACGCGCGCACGCGCGCACGCGCGCACGCGCACGCGCGCACGCGCACACGCGCACACGCGCACACGCGCACACGCGCACACGCGCACACGCGCACACGCGCACACGCGCACACGCGCACACGCGCACACGCGCACACGCGCACACGCGCACACGCGCACACGCGCACACGCGCACGCGCACGCGCACACGACGCACGCACGCGCACACGCGCACACACACGCAAACACGCACACGCCCGTGCACACACACACCACACGCACACACACACGCACACACAACACACACGCACACGCACGGCACACGCACGCAGGCACACGCACGCACGCACGCATGCCACGCACACGCACGCACGCACACGCACACGCACTCGCACGCGCACACGCACACACGCACGCACACACACGCACGCACGCACACGCACGCACACACACACGCACACACACACACGCACACACACACACGCACGCACGCACACACACACACGCACGCACACACACACAAACACACACACTCTCTCACACTCTCACACACTCTCACACACTCTCTCACACTCTCACACACTCTCACACACTCTCACACACTCTCGCACACTCTCACACACTCTCACAGACTCTCACACACCCTCACACACCCTCACACACCCTCACACACCCTCACACACCCTCACACACCTCACACCTCACACACTCTCACACACTCTCACACACTCTCACACACTCACACACTCACACACTCTTACACTCTCACACACTCTCACACACTCTCACACTCTCTCACACTCTCTCACACTCTCTCACACTCTCACACCCACACACCCTCACACTCTCACACTCTCACACTCTCACACTCTCACACTCTCACACTCTCACACTCTCACACTCACACACTCACACACTCACACACTCACGCACTCACACACTCACACACTCACACACTCACACACACACACACTCACACACTCACACACTCACACACTCACACACTCACACACACACACTCACACACACACACACTCACACACAGTTGCCACCGGGCGGGAGTAATAGGAGTGCAGTTTTTCAGGAATTCTTGAGGATTCGCGTATCCCTACCAGCCCATCCAGAAACGATGTCCAGACAAGTTCAAGAGATCAGGGAAGTGGGGGAGCAACGAGAGGGACAGCCGATCCGTGCATAGGATGAGGCGGAAGAGGAGGCCAGATGGATAGATGAGGGGGTGGCGAGGAACCGAGCAAAGGAGGGATGAGGATAATGATGGCGCTGGGTGGATGGTTGAATGCCGCTCGGATGCCTCTTGGAAGCCTTTTGGAAGCCTCTTCGGGCGTCTTGGGGGTCTCTTGGCGGTCAATGGGGGCTCTTGGGCGTCTTGGGTGCTTCGGGGGGGCCCCTTGAGGCCGCTTGGGATCCTCTTGGGGGGCTCTTGGGGGCTTGTTGGAGGCCTCTTGGGGCCTCTTGGGGGTCTCTTGGAGCTTCATGGCGGCCTCTTGGAGCCTCTTGGAGGGCTCTTGGAACCGTCCTGGGAGCCTCTTGGGGGCTTCTTGGGGCCTCATGGCGGCCTCTTGGGGCCTCTTGGAGGCCTCTTGGAAGCTTCTTTGGGCCTCCTGGGCGCCCTTTGGGGCCATCTTGGAACAGATCGATCAAAGAAGAGGGTGGAGTTAATTGACCTTGCCCCCCGAAGAGGCCAACATGGGGCCAAAACCATAGTGAAACCGATGATTTTGGCTTCCTCGCCGAGGCCGCTTTGGACGCTCCAACTGCCAGCGAACCCCCCGGTCCAGGTCCAGGGCGGGGGGTGGGGGGAGGGGTGAACCCCTCCCCGAAGGGGGAGAAGGAGGTTGGAAGAGGAAACTCCCGGAACCACCTACGCCCAGAGGGCTGGTGGGATTAGGACATACCCGCGGGGGGCAAGCTCAAAGCGTTGCAGGTCGCGTGGGAGGCGGTCAGGTGCTCGATCCTGGAGGAGGTGCGCATGATCTTGCCCAACCTGTGCAACATGCTGGCTTTCCAGTCCTACCTGGGACGCATGGCCGAGTGGGGCGCGGAGGGGCGGGAGTGCGACCAGGTCGGCGGAGCCTTCGGCCGGATGCCCATCGTGATCCACCTGGGGGACTTCCTGGAGGCAAAGTGTCCCTCGTCTCCAGCTTGCAGGAATTAGCGGCGGCGGGCGTCAACCTCGCTCCAGAGTGCCGGGCCGTGATGAAGCTCTTCTGCGACGCGCCGCTGTGCGTCGAGCTCCAGGCGTTCAACCGCTTCGAGGGCCCGAAGCTCAGGGATCGCGTTGCCTTCCCGCGCAAACCGTCCGGGCCACGTGGAACGCCGCGCAGCTGAAACCCGATGATCGTCCGCTCCGGGAGGAGAGGTTCCAGAACGGCCACATGATCGGGTCCTATTGGGACACCGTGGCGCGGTGGATGAACGTGCGTGCCCAGGGGGGCGCGGCCGTCCTGAAGAAGGCCCTCTTCCCCGTGCAGGCCGCCGACAGGTCTGCCCCGACGATGGGCGTCCAGGACGTCGCCAAGATGATGAACTGTGCCAGCCCGAAGAACGCTGGTGGCGTGCGCGGACTCCTCCCGGTGCGCGTGGGCATGCGGATCCGGCTCCTGGAGGCGCTCGACCTCAAGAACGGCCTCGTCAAGGATGCCGAGGGGCAGATCGTGCACATCGTCGTGGGCCCTCGGGGTCGGGGCGACGCCCAGAAAGCCGAGAGAGACGGGGGGAACAGGATCTATCTGAAGCGCTTGCCGTCGGGGTTCTGGGTGCGCATGGGCGACCTGGAGCGCCGCGACGACAGCCTCGCGGGGGGCCTCGCGGGCCCGCTGGTGTTCATCGAGCCCCGCGCGTCGGGGCCGTTTACCTTCCGGATTTCCGAGGTCACCCCGGCGGGCCCCCGTTCTCGCGCGGCAGGGTCATCACAGCGGTGGCGTGTCAGGGGCGCACCGTGCGAGAAGGCGGCGGGGCGAGGGGGCAGCGCCCCTGGGCAGTCTAGAGCCGAACCTACTGGGCGCGAGCGGTCTGCAGCTGGTCCATCTCGGTCCTGTGGGCTCTCGCCCTGGGCCGTCGGCTGTCCGGCGCGCTGCCCCCTCGGCCGACGTCGCCCGGGCGTGATCCTGGGCTGCGGCCGCCGCGAGGTCGGGAACGGCAAGAAGGAGGACGACGACTGGTGGCTGGAGCTCCATGCGCTGCTCTCGCGCGCCGCGCGCCACGAGGACCTCCTGCTCATGCGGGCGCCGCGCGTCGAGTTCTTCCTGGCGGGGGCTTGCGGAAGCAGCTGGGGCAGGTTGCGTCGCGCGCGAAGCGGTGCAGGAGGGGGGCGACGGTCCTCGCCAGGGAGCTCGGCTTCGCCGAGTTTATCCGCGAGGCCTGACCTGAGGGGCGCCCCCCCCGAGCCGCGCCGTCTCTCGACTGCCCAACTAGTTGTTTGGCCTCGCGCCGCGGACGACCCGCGCGCGTCGTTGGGGCCCTTCCGGGGCGACCAGAGCGCGTCGCGGGAACTCCGTGCTGCGTTCTTCTCTGTGCCTCGCTGGCCCGTCGTCGCTCCGCCCAGCGGTCGGGGCCTCGCCCGCTATCAGCCAGCCAGCTAGCTAGCTAGCTCTCTTTGCCCCGCGCAGCGGACGACCCGCGCGCGTCGCTGGGGCCCTTCCGTGGCGATTGTCGCGCGTCGCGGGGGCTCCGCGCCGCGCTGCGCCCGCCGCTTTGGACTTAGGAGTGCGCCGGCAAAGAGGAAGGACAATGGGGGGAGGAAACGGGCGCGATCCTCGTGAGGGGTGCGCCGACATGGGCGTCGCGGCTTGCGGGCGCTGCCGCCGGGGTTCCCGCGGAAACTTTCTGCGGCGGCCACGCTCAGTGTCGCGAGTGCACGGGCAGGCACGCCCGAACCATTCACATTCATATACATTCGCACGAGGCGTAGCCATAATCGCATTCGTGCGAATATATTTGCTCGCGCGCAGACTCATTTACACTTAGATTCATTCGCGCTCAGATTCACCAGCGCTCAGTCTCTCGTAATTCGACCAATCGTTTTCTTTCGTGTTGTGTACCCCGCCACATTTCGGCACGCCCCCCATGCGGTTCGTGGGCACCACCGAAAAAGATACTCACACTTGCGGTACTCCAAACTGCATATGGTTGGGTCCTTTGCCAGGATAATTTATCCCCCGCTGGAGTGGATCTTGGTTGTTTTTTGGCGCCTTTTTCGAGCAGGTGGGGTCTCCCCCAGAGGACGCACGGCTCCAGACAGTCGCATTGAGCAGAGGTCCGGAGCCAGACCCCCCCCTTCCGCCCATTGTCGAAACGCCGATTAAAAAGAAAACGCGCACGTGTTGGTCGAGCTCTGGTGTCCTCGTCCGAGTTTCTCCTCGTCTCGGCTTCCTCCTGCAAGGATCCCGGGGGCGCGCCTTCGGACGCTCCGGGCGCGCCCGGCGCGGGCCTGGCGGAGGTGCTCCGGGCCGGCCTGTCGCGGGGCCTGGAGGACCTCGGGCTGGCGGAGGGCGTGGCCGTGGCGTGGGCCGAGAGCCTGGCGGAGGGCCTGGTCTGGCCCGAGGGCCTGGCCTGGCCCGAAGGGCTGGACGCGGGCGGCCGGAGGGCCATGCGCGGCGGCGGCCGAGGCGCGGGAAGCGAGAGTGATGGGCCAATCTTCCATTGTACCACTGCCATGAGTAGGACGGGGGAGAAGGGAGGACGGGAAGACCCCCCTCCTCTTTCTCCTCCTCCTGCCTTTCCTGCCTATGCTAGTGGTGGGGATGTTCGGCCCATCAGAGGAGTGGCGGGCCTTCTCGAAACCCGGTGGGGCGTTTCTTAGAAGCCCCGCCGGCCCTCTGAGAAGTTTTTTCTGCATCCTCGGGGGAGGCTCAGAGTACGTCTCGGAAGACAAATGGGGGACTTCGAGCCTTCTGAGAAGGCCCGCCCTTTGTCACTTCCCCCCTTCGCTCGCCGCCGACAGTCGGTGGTTCAAAGACGTGGTCCTGCGGGATGGGGACGTGAGGACGAGGTGCCTCAAACAGTTTGACTCCGCCCACGGAGAAGCCAAACGCAACCGACTGCCAGCTACCCATACACATGCAGATACCAACACGGCAAACATCCCCAACACCGATAACGAGAACAACGTCGCACCAGAAAACGATGTCTTGGAATCATGGGTCGAAAACGTCACGCGCGCGACAAGACAAGCAGAAAGCCTCATGCACAAGCACAGGATGAGCGATTGGACTATGAGGCAATGACGAACGGTGTGGAGATGTGATGCGAGAGTGGCGAAACAGTCTCCTGTCAATGCGTTGTCAACTGGCACCCACGCCTCGATGCATTTCAGAAAAGGGCACAGAAATGCGGGAGGATAGCAGAAGCGATGGGACGACGACGTGCGTGATTTTACTGTAACCCATTGCGTGCAAGAGCAAACCGCCCAGAGTAGCTACGACGTGAACCACATCGATTGGTTCAGACTGGCGACCGACGACGCAATTTGGACGAAATTGGAGACACAATTTGTCATGCGTTCCACTCATGATACTTCCGCGGAACCGTAGCATCCGACCCTCCAGTCCCACCTTTACCAATCGACCTCCAGCGCCGACCAGCTCAGCACTCCGACCTCCAACCTTTCGCATCCGACTCTCCACGTCCACCTCCACCTATCGAATCGACTTCCGGCAGTCACCAGCTCAGCATTCCGACCTCCAACGTGTAGCATCCGACTCTCCACTTCCACCGCCACCAATCGACCTCCAGCGTCCACCAGCTCAGCATTCCGACCTCCAACCTCCAGCATCCGATTCTCCGCTTCCACCTCCACCAATCGACCTCCAGCGTCGACCAGCGCAGCGTTCCGACCTCCAACCTCTAGCATCCGACTCTCCACTTCCACCTCCGCCAATCGACCTCCAGCGTCGAGCAGCGCAGCGTTCCGACCTCCCAACCTCTAGAATCTGACATTCCACTTCCACCGCCACCAACGCCAGACGCCGAAAATGCAGTACGACCTTACGGCGCCACATGGCTACAATCCGTTACAACAAAAGAGTGGGAACATTTGGGAAACAACTTGGTGGAGTACGCATCTTCGCGAATAGGCGCCCAGCGCGCGCAGTTCTCATGCGAGGCCATGGCCTCACCCGCCTCGCCCTCCCGCGCAGGCGTTCCGTTCCGTTCCGTTCCGTTCTTCCTGTCCTCAGGACCCCATGCCTCATGACCCCATCTTTGAACCACCGAGCCATGGCCTGGGCCGAGGGCGTGGCTGGACTCGAGTGGCCCGATGGCCTCGCTTGGCCCGAGGGGCTGGACTCGAGCGGCCGGAGGGCCATGGCCTGGGCCGAGGCGGCGGCCGAGGCGGCGGCCGAGGGCGTGGCCGGGCTCGAGTGGTCGGAGGGCCTTGCCTGGCCCGAGGGGCTTCACCTCACGCCCGAGGAGCTGTGCGCGGGCGTGCTCAAGGCGCCGCAGGCCGCAGCGGGCTGGGCGGAGAGGCACCCGCTGCTGGTGCTGCTGTTGGCGCTGCTGGTATTCGAGGTCCTTCGGTACGCCTGGCATTGCCTGCGGCTGGTGGCTCTAGACTTCCGTAGACACACGCCTCCCTCCATAGGGTACTCAATGACCAAGTCCCTCGATGAGCACGCCGCCTTTTTGGAGACCATCTTCTGTGACCGTCCCGACCACGCCTTTCTTCTGGAGGGCCTCTTCCTTGGCCGCACGAAACTCGCGGACATCTCGCATGAGATGCTGGAGGAAGCCCTGCTGGCCCTGCTCTGCATGGAGGTTCGCAGGTGGTATAGCGGCAAACACCACGACCTCGCCTCTTCTATAATCGATAAACTCGAGGAGAAGATGGGCATGCGCTTCCCTTTCGCAAGCCACCCGATGAGGCACAGAACGCGTTCTGGAGGCTCCGTGGCCCAGCCCATTCAATTCGACGCTCACCCCGAGGCGGCGCGCCAGCCGTTCATGTTCACTGGAGAGCGGAAGATCTGCGCTTACTTCAAGCCTCTCCCGGTGCAGCTCGCCATATGGCTCGCCAAGGGGATGAAGAGTGCGCTGCTGTGGCGCTGGGGCTTCCGGTGGAAGGACCTGGGCCCCGTCCAGCTATGGGTGCGGCGCTGCGGTGGCGACGGGTGCTCAGTTTGGGTCGGACGAATGGGGAGACACGGGAAAGGGGTGGCTGCGACATCTGCCGCATGCAGCTGCTTTCGCCCCCCGCCGCTGGGCACCCTGCCTCGATACACTGGCGCCTCTTGCGCCGTACGACGCCAGGAAAGCCCGCTGCGTGGCCCGACTCGCGATCCCACCCTTTGCGTTATCTTCTCCTCCGCCCGACCCGATCAGTGGCTGACCCGGATCAGCCACCGCTGCTTTTCTGCCCCGGCCTCTTCTTGGGGAACACGGCGTACCTCCGCTGGATCCAGCACGGGCTGCTGCCCCTGGCCCAGCGACGGCCGCTGCTGCTGCTGGAGCTGCCGCACCTGTCGCACGTCATAGACCCCCGGCGCATAGCCTACTCGCTGCGGTACTCGTGGCCGACCACCGACGAGATCTGTGATGCCTGGGCCTCGCTTCGGAGAAGAAGAAAGAGTCGGCAAGCCATACCCTTTCTGAGGTCCGCGCGGGTGTCTTGACTCGGCGCTGGACACTCCTCCCTGTTGGGGCGGCGCCAGAGGTGCCGCCAGGCGGCCCAGCCGATCTAAGAAATCTGCGGGGACCTCCGAAAGCATATGTTTATGCAGCTGTTTCTTATTCAATCGCTTGGCTCTGATCAGCCGAGCCGATCCTGATGACTTGTCGCGTACTGGGATCGAGTCGCCCCGCTGCTGGCGCCGCTCGACTTCACCGCCAGAGTAAATCCACACCCGCCGCCACGAAGCGGTGCCGGGGGATCTCGATGGTCTCTGAAAGAGTGCTGGCCTCGGAGTTGCCCGTTGTTGAGGGCGGGATAGTACCTATGTCCACCTCCAGACATGCGACGCCCTATTTTTTTCACCACGTGACTCCCCAGAGATAGGGGCCAATCCCTGGGGATTGGATTTTCATCCCGAGTCGGTTCTCTGGCGATCCCGGGGCCCAGTAAAGGACCCCCGGAGGCCGAAGATTGGCAGCAACCCTCGTTCGTTTCGTTCTCACGACGCGGGGACGTCAGGGCCGCGCCCGGGGGATCCAGGGCAGGACTCCGCCGGCTGGCACGTGGATGCTGCCTTGGGGATGCTCGCCCTTCCCGCCTGCGTCCCGCTTTGGTGCCCAGTCCATATGATCCTATCGATTCGATTCTCCTGCTCCTTCTCCTCCTCGTCCTCCTGCTCCTCCTCTCCTCCTGCTCCTCCTCCTGCGCCGAGCCGAGGCCTTGGCGAACGAGCTGTCCAAGTGGCCCTCGCCTGCCGACATCATCGGTACCGGGGGGCTGCCGCGCGGAGAGCCAAAGCAGGGCTCATTTCGATATCCCCGATTCGATTCGATTCGATTTCGATTGATTCCGATTCCGATTCGATTCGACTTGAGATTCCGATTTGGATTCCGATTTCTCACTGGACGCGTACAAGCCTGCCGATTTCCGCCGATTCGACTTTTTCCGACTCGGCTGCCTATTTCCGCGGGTCCGATTCAGGTCGATCGCCGATCCGGCTTATCGACTCGATTTTGGGCTCTCCTGCCAAAGGGCAGCCAGCAAGCCTTGGGACAGCCGACCATGCGCCGTGTCGGAGGCGAAGGCGTGAAGACAAGTACTCGGCGTCACCCCAACATACTTATACTATATGTGCGTCGCCCCCCCCATGGGCGACGCGCGCATCGAGAAATCTTATAGTATATGCGTCTTGGCGGGCGCTTTATGGCCACACCGCGCGGGAAACGATATACTACAAGATGGGTACACTATATGTTCGGGTCGGACGCGCGCCTCCAAGGAGGACATATAGTATTAGTATGTCTCGGCGCGTGCAAAATATCTCAGGCGCGCGCCAGCAAGCTGAGTCTCGATCCTCTCAAAAGCCCGAGCTCAGGTCTCTCGAGGCTGTGAAGCAGAGCTGCCGCCCACGCCCAATTGTTTGGTATGCCAGAGAGCTGTGCAGCTGCTCTCCGTCTCGAGCCAGTGGTGTTCTGAGAGCCAGGCCCAGGCGGTCACACTGTACGTTGTTGCCCGGCCGGCCAACTTGCGGTGTCCCAAATCCTGCTAGCGAGGTGACAGAAGCTTCCAGAGGGTCAGTCGATTCACCACCCACCAAACCACCCCAACCCAACCCGAAGGCTTCAACTTGCCCTCCATTCTCATCGGGGGGGGGCGTCGGGGAACATTGAAAACACACACGTGGAACCCACACCCCACCCCAACCCGACATTTGGGGCTTCGGATTAGGTTGGGATGGTCTGGTAGGCAGTCATCCATGGAGCGCTGGCAGACCCCTCCTGGGGTACATCCCGGCCAGTGCTCCCATCCCAGACCGATTTCTGTCGGCCCAGGGGCTGGATAAGGGCCGCGGCACACACACAATCAATCGTCGACTCCAAGGAAAACATGGGAAGTTGGGGGGGGAAGAGACGAACATCGAGAAGGTATGGCAAAATACCGGGGATCCTGGGATTTGTGCATCTGTATATACATATATGTATATATATACATATACATACATATATATGTATATGTATATGTATATGTATATGTATATGTATATGTATATGTTTATGTACATGTACATGTATATGTGTATGTATGTATGTATGTATGTATGTATGTATGTATGTATGTATGTATGTAGGTAGGTAGGTAGGTAGGTAGGTAGGTAGGTAGGTAGGTAGGTAGGTAGGTAGGTAGGTATGTAGGTATGTATGTATATGTGTGTATATATATGTGTGTGTGTATATATATATATATATATATATATATCTGTATATCTATCCCTGGGGGCGAGGCCGGGGGCCCCAGGACAGGTGCCCCGACCCCCCATGGGGGGACGGGGGGGGCCTGGAGCCTCCCTGGAGCAGCCCAGGCGGCCCAAGAGTACCCCAAGAGCGCTCAATGACAGGCCTCGCAGGCTCCAGGAGGCCCAAGAGGGCGCCAAGAGGGCCCCAAGATGCCCAAGATAAGCCCAAGACGGCCAAAGAGGCCCCCAAGACGCTCCAAGAGGCCTCCAAGAGGCCCCCCCAGAGGGCCCCAAGAGGCCAACATCTTTTAGTTTACGAAGGTTTTGGACACATTTTGTCTTTCCCGCCTTTTCAGCTTTCCGACGCTCCACGACGGCTCACAGGCCCCCCCGCGGACGCCCTAAGACAGCCCAAGAGGCCTCCAAGAGGGCCTCAAGACGGCTCTGGAGGGCCCCAAGACGGCCCAAGACGCGCCCAAGACGAGCGAAGAGAGGTCCAAGACGGCCCCAAGAGGGCCCCAAGAGGGGAACCGCGAACCGGAAATTCGAGCCTCCCGCCTCCACAGGGCCCCAGGAGGCCCCAAAGGGGCCCCAAGAGGCCCCAGGAGACCCCCAAGAGGCACCCAAGAGGCCCGGTGCCCGAAAACAGCTGCCCCGACCCTCCATGGGGGTACCGGGGCTCATTTTCCGTGTGTTTTTAAAGGGTTTCCGCGTCCTGGGTCTCGGAGGCCGCCGCCTCCGACTTCCCATGGGAGGACGGAGCGGCCGGGGAGGTCCAAAATAGTCCAGGAGGGCCTCCAGAGGCTCCCAAGACGGCCCAAGCGGGCGGGCCCCGAGTCGCCGAAAGACCGCTCCGGGACGCCCAAGATAGGCCCAAGATGGCCCGAGAGGCCCCCCAAGGCACTCCACGACGCTTCAAGACGCCTCTCCAGAGCGCTTCAAGAGGCCAAAATCGTACATTTTACGAAGGTTTTCGAACGATTTTGGCCTTCCAGCCTTTTCGGCTGTCCGACGTTCCAAGACGGCTCAATAGGCCCCCAAGAGCGCCCCAAGACGGCCCAAGAGGGCCCCAAGACGGCCCCAGAGTCGCCCAAGACAGCCCAACAGAGCCCCAAGACGGCCCCAAGATGCGCCTAAGACGGGGACCACGACTCCAAAATTCGACCCTCCCGCTTGAAGAGTGCCCCAGGAGTCCCCAAGGAGCCCCCAAGAGGCCCCAGGAGGCCCCCAAGAGGCACCCAGGAGCCCCAAACGAGGCCTAAAGAGGCCACAAAACAGCCCCCAGGAGGCCCCACAACGGTCCCAAAACGGCTACCGAGAAGCTGCGAAACTGCCTTCACGACGTCCCCGACAGGCCAACCACGAGATCCAAACCAACACCCATGAGACCTCTGACGTGGCGGGAGCAGTGACAGCACTTGTGCACAGCATGTTCCGGCGGGAGCCTTCGGAACACGCTGCAGGAGGAGGAGGAGGAAGATCAGGAGGAGGAGGGGGACGAGGAGGAGGAAGAGGACTCCAAGACATCTCCAAGATAGCCGAAGAGGCTTCCAAGAGGGCCCTGGGCGGCCCACGAGGGCCCCAAGGCGGTGCCTGAGGCGCCCAAGACGGCCCGAGAGGGCCCCAAGACGGCCCCAAGAGAGGCCCAAGAAGGGAAACACGAACCGAGAATCCGAGCTTTCTACCCCGAGAGGTTCTCGGGAAGTCCCAAGAGGCCCCCAATCGGATCCAAGAGGCCCCCAAGAAGCTCCCAAGAGGGCCGACGAGGTTCCAAGAGATCTCCCAAGGTGGCCCCAAGAGGCACAACTCATTGTTTTACGATTGGGCTTTGACGGGTTTTAATTTTTTCGGCCTTTTGGCATCCCGATGCTCCAAGACGGCCCAAGAGGCTTCCAATACCGCTCCCATATAGAGGAAAAGGCCTCCAAGCGGGCCCTAAGACGGCCCGCGAGGGCCCCAAGACGGTGCTTGAGGCGCCCAGAACGGCCCGAGAGGGCCCCAAGAGCCCCAAGAGAGGCCCAAGAAGGGGAACGCGACCCAACAGCAGAGCGTTCCCCCCGAGAGACCCACAGGAGGCCGCAAGAGGCCCCCAAGTGGTCTGACGAGGACGCCAAAAGCTTCCCGAGGGCCCAGAAGGCCCCTAGGAGACGTCCAAGAGGTTTTAAAATAGCCCAAGAGTGCCCTCGATGCGTCAAAACTGCTTCCAGGAGGCCCCTGGGAGGCTTCCGGATTGCCTCAATCTGGCCGCAGGTGGCCTCAAGTCGGGCCTCCACGCAGCCAAGACGGCCAATGACGGCTTCAGATTGCAGAACCGATGCCCCCAAGGGACCCTCAGACGCCCCCCCAAGAAGCACCCAAGAGGTGCCTCCAACAGCCAGTTGACGAAGCATGCGGAACACCCCAGAAGCTCCTCAGATGCCGTCGCGCGCCTGTGCTTGATAGCGTTGTCCAAGATCGTCCAGCGCCCCCCCGGCCTGGGCTAGAACCTGAGCGCGCGCTCAGGATGGCCTGGACAGTATGCCCGGGCCCGGGCATACTGTCCTGAGTCCTGAATGGATGAGCATCTCACCCAGATCCACAATTCCCGGATTCTTTGGGGCCTTCGGAGACTCCGCGACAACGTTAAGAAGTCGGGAGGCGCGGTACCGGCCAGATTTCAGGGGATATGTAGGACCCCCGAGTAGGAGTTCTACTTTGCTGAAAAAGCGGAATTCGTGGAATCCTTTTTTTATCCCCAAATCCTTGATCTTTGAGGGCTGGAAGCGGGAAAACCTGAGAAGGCGAAAAACATAGGAAAACCATGGGAAATCAACGATTTTACCCTCTTTGGACTCTCTCGGGACGGCTCTCGCAGCTCTCTTGGGCTGTTCTTGGAGCCTCGTCGGGGTCTTTTTGGGGCCTCTCAAGGATGGGGGGTGTGTTGGGGGCCTCGGGGGGCCCGGAGGCCTCTCGGAGGTCTCTGGAAGCCTCCTGCTCCCGCTCTTGGGCCCATCTTGGGCCTGTTCTGGGGTGGTCTGGGGCTGTGCTGGGCGCCTCTTCGGCAGTCTTGGAGCCTTCTTGGCCTGTCTTGGGGCCGTCCTGAGGGTCTCTTGGGTGGTCTTGGGCCGGTCTTGGGAGGCTCTTCGGCGCTCTTGGACCGTTGGAAGCTCGAAAACGCGAGAAGCCAAAAACATTGAAAAGTCCATTGAACATATACGACTTTGGCCTCTTCGGGCCGTACCGTGATACCTATCAGACTTCTTGGGGTCTCTTGGAGGCCACCTGGGAGCCTCGAGATCTTTTCAGCGCGTTCCGGGAGCATCTTCCCGGAACGCGCTCGTGGCAGGGCGCCCACGTCCGAGGACGTTGGCATGGGAAACCGCAGCGCGTGATCATTCCAGGCGTTCCGGCGGACTCCAGGAAGACTGCACGTCTTATGAGGATGGCTTCCGCCTTTTGCCCCGAGCATCTCAAACTGCTTGAACGGTTTCCACTCGCCTTCCCCAAACCCAGCGCTTGCCCAAGCGCGTTCCAGACGAAAGACAGTCCCGGACGCCCAAGATAGGCCCAAGACGGCCCGAGAGGCCCCCCAAGGCACTCCACGACGCTTCAAGACGCGTCTCCAGAGCTCTTCAAGAGGCCGAAATCGTACATTTTACGGAGGTTTTCGAACGATTTTGGCCTTCCAGCCTTTTCGGCTGTCCGACGTTCCAAGACGGCTCAATAGGCCCCCAAGGGCGCCCCAAGACGGCCCAAGAGGGCCCCAAGACGGCCCCAGAGTCGCCGAAGGCAGCCCAACAGAGCCCCAAGACGGCCCCAAGATGCGCCCAAGAGGGGGACCACGACTCCAAAATTCGACCCTCCCGCTTGAAGAGTGCCCCAGGAGGCCCCAAGGAGCCCCCAAGAGGCCCCAGGAGGCCCCCAAGAGGCACCCAGGAGCCCCAAACGAGGCTTAAAGAGGCCACAAAACAGCCCCGAGGAGGCCCCACAACGGTCCCAAAACGGCTGCCGAGAAGCTGCGAAACTGCCTTCACGACGTCCCCGATAGGCCAACCACGAGATCCAAGCCAACACCCATGAGGCCTCTGACCCACCACCCAGGGCACGGTGGCGGGAGCAGTGACAGCACTTGTGCACAGCATGTTCCGGCGGGAGCCTCCCAGAACACGCTGCAGGAGGAGGAGGAGGAGGAAGATCAGGAGGAGAGAGAGCTGGAGTGGGAGGGCCGACGAGGTTCCAAGAGATCTCCTAAGGTGACCCCAAGAGGCACAACTCATTGTTTTACGATTGGGCTTTGACGGGTTTTAATTTTTTCTACCTTTTGCTCTAAGACGGCCCAAGAGGCTTCCAATACCGCTCCAATATAGAGGA